AACCTATGCCAACATAATAGCACCGGAACGTAGGGGAAGCCGGCGGCATGTGCCGGTGTCCAAGGCGACCGGGTGCGGTATTGTAGCGGTATCATGGGGAGGAGCGCCCATAGTCAGGCCCCGGGGGTGTAGCCATATCGGTGAACCTCGTTAAGAAATCTCGGTGTCGTGCTCATGTGATTGCTTGGTCCTCGGATGATCGACGGTATGCCTCGGATTTATTCTAACATCAATGATGCGTTCTCACAGTATGAACTTACTTTTTGCACTTCTGAAGATGTTTCATTCTCTGATTCAGAACAAGGTCAGTGGGAAATTGCTTGGTCACTCTGCAATGGATTTTTGGTTCTCGAGAATATCTTGATGCGGTTCCCATGTGAGAGTTTGGCAACTGTGATTTGGTGCACATTATTTCAAGGGCTTGTGGAATTCTTTGGCAGCATACATCTGAAAATCATGGTTCAGTGCTCTTATCTTAAGTTGGTATGGAAGATAGCTTGGGTGCCCTGTTCTATGCTTAGTGATGATGCTTACAACTCCCAATACACATTCTTCACACTACTGAATTATTGGTCTTTTCGCTTAGAGTATTGTGCTATTAGTCAGCAATTTGTTCAGCCATCCGTTGCAAATTCCATGCAGCTCTGCACTTCGGGAGAGGTTTCCTTACTTGATTCAAAGACAAGTATAGTTACTCATCATTTGGTAACAGTAAAAGTTTCTGTTGCATATGCTTCTGTACCGATGATGTCAAGCTTCATTCAAGTGTTCGTTGGGATCCCGGTGGTTCGGCATATAGTCGGCTTGAGGCAAGCCTCATTCTGCAGAGTAAGAGCATCTCCACTAGTTTGCCCCCCATGGAGCCATTTTTCAGCTGGTTGGCGTCATGCCGGCGGAAATTTTGTTACGATCCAACTAGTTGATTCACTCAACCACCATGGATTTGATTATAAGCTCAGATTACATGGTGAATTGAAGGAGGAAGGAAGGGGAATTACAGCAGGAGGAGGAAGAAGATAAGAGCCTATCGGCCGAAGCCGCCGTCCAGTCCAAGCCAACTCACATGTAGCTGCCTCCCTTGTATATGTAGTCCATGTCTTCCTTGTGGGCTGGGTCCTGGCTAAGGCTCAGCGAGGCCCGGGTCGCTGACATGGACCTGGAGAGGACAAGGTCGGAAAGGCTCACGGGCGGTGTCGCGCTCCGATTCGTTCGCCGGCAGCTCCGATTGCTATGGATTGTGATTATGGAGAGGAAGATGGCGGCGTGAGCATGGTCGGCATGCAGGTGCGAACGCCTCTCGACTCTGGGGAGAAACGGAAGCAAAAATGAGTGCATTGGTGCTGAACATAGACTCTTGGAGAGGGGAGGGAGAGATCCGTCTTCTGCTTGACACAGGCCGCAGGGCCCGGCTCGTCTAGCAGCTCCAGGGGCTAGCTTGGTGAGGAGGGGCTTGCTGCTGGACCTGGAGAGGACAAGGTCGGAAAGGCTCGTGGGCGGCGCCGCGCTCCGATTCGTCCGCCAGCAGCTCCGATTGCTATGGATTGTGATTGTGAGGAAGGGGATTGATTGAATGGCAGCTTTGGGCGTCCAGAAGAGAAGATCATTCACGATGAATCGGTGCAGGCTGCAGAGTAAGAGCATCTCCGCTCGTTTGCCCCCCAAGGAGCCATTTTTCAGCTGGTTGGGGTCATGCAGACGGAAATTTTGTTAGGATCAAACTAGTTAATTCACTCAATCACCATGGATTTGATTACAAGCTCAGATTACATGAGGAATTGAAGGAGGCAGGAAGGGGAATTACAGCAGGAGGAAGAAGAACATAAGATAGCCCATCGGCCAAAGCCGCCGTCCGGTCCAAGCCAACTCACATTAGCTGCCTCCCTTGTATATGTAGTCCATGTATTCCTTGTGGGATGGGTCCTGGCTGAGGCCCAGCGAGCCCCAGGTTGCTGACATGGACCTGGAGAGGACAAGGTCGGAAAGGCTCGCAAGCGGTGCCGCACTCCGATTTGTCCGCCGGCAGCTCTGATTGCTATGGATTGTGATTATGGAGAGAAAGATGGCGGCGTGAGCAAGGTCGGCATGCAGGTGTGAATGCCTCTCGGCTCTGGGAGAAACAAAAGGAAAAACGTGTGCATTGGCGCTGAACCTAGACTCTTGGAGAGGGGGAAGGAGAGATCTGGCTTCTGCTTCGCACAGGCTGCAGGGCCCGGCTTGCCGAGCAGCTCCACGTGCTAGCTAGGCGAGGAGCGGGCGTGGAGGGGCTTAATGGACCTGGAGAGGACAAGGTCGGAAAGGCTCACGGGCGGTGCTGCGCTCCGATTCGTCCGTCGGCAGCTTTAGTTGCTATGGATTGTGATTGTGGGGAAGGGGATTGATTGAATGGCAGGGTGGTAGCTTTGGGCGTCCAGAAGAGAAGATCATTCACGATGAATCGGTGCAGGCTGCAGAGTAAGAGCATCTCCGCTCGTTTGCCCCCAAGGAGCCATTTT